CCAGCCCCTTTGTTGAATAACCTTCCGTTCTTCAAACCCTCGGCCTGGCTGATCTCACGCACAAACAAATCGAACCCGGAACACTCTTGAACGCTTCACTGATTTCTGCTACTAGATTGACGAAGACTACCGCCTCTCAATCACCTTCACTTAGCTGAAGTAGGTAGAGATGATCCGTACCGAAAAACCCCCAAAATCTCCAAATCTTGGAGGGCAAAACCTGCTAGGTTTTATCCAAGAAAAACCTGCCTTCAAAATCAACCCGAACCGGATTTCCGATCACGGCTTCGGACGTTATCACCTTGAACAAGATCACAAGCACCCCAAGAATTGTTGTGTTGTGGGTTGTAAAAGATGAGGATTGATGAATTTTGATGGCACCTCTTTCACTTTTCTTGTTTTGTGACAATTGACTCAAATTCACAATTGTTATTGATGAAAATGAACAAAGTCTCTATATATAGTAACCAACCAATCACAAAACTTAACAGCTTTTCAAACATAGTGGGAAGACTTCAAAAACAGCACCAACGCGCGAACGGTCGACCATAGCGGGTCTATGCGTCGACGCATAGCCTGCATATTCAGACAAATTTGAAAGGCCAGCAGTGTGCGTCGACCATAGGTCGGCGTGCACTGACCTTTGAGAAACTATAAGCTCGATGCGTCGACCTTGTGGTCGACTCATAGTCTTCATGCGCTGACCCGCGAGAAAATGCACAGATACATGCGCTGACTCAGTGGTCGACTCATGGCCTGAAAATCTGCAAAAATTGTTATTTATGTGGTTTTTATGCATTTAGTCATAACAACATATCATTCACATATATTGTATTGAGTAAAACACTTTAAATGATATAGGAAGAATATGGTGGATGAAATATTTGCATTTATCTTTGTAGAGGCATAACCGATAATGCCGATTTATCCATAGTTGCAATTTGTCATCATCGAAACTCAAGATCGTATGTTGTATTACGGTTTGCTCTCACAACCTTCACTTAGACCGAACCTCTATAATATTGATGTTTATCTCTTTCTCTTATCTCTTTTTCTTTTCAATTATTTTATTTTCATTAGTTTTTTATCTATTTTTTTTTTTTATTTTGCTACTTTTTTGTTTGGTTTATAAATGGATGTAAACTCTGATTTTCCAAATATTGTTCTTATTCAATATTTTTCAAACTTTCACACAAGTCATCCATTTCTTGTGTTTGGAATGACATGTGTAACATTTTTTAAGTTTGTTAGAAAAGTTGAAAAATATAAGTTGCGCTATGATATGTGATATACCATACTTCTAAGTGTGCTTCCTACCTTGTTTTATAATTATTATTGTAGTCTTTGATTTCAAGTTAAAGAAGTTTCCATTTCTAACTGTTTTTCAAGTTTCATAATAGAATTAAAGCATTTTTATGGCGAGGCTTGGTTTTGACTTTTTCTGCTAGTTAAAAAGATACCTATCAGAATAACCATTCAAGTTTCATTCATTATTCTTTATGGAAGCACGGGGAAAAGTATTTTAACATTCTAATAATACAGATTCTTCTTTCATATATAAAAAGGGTGATATAAGAATACAAAAACAAAATCATTTTGAATTTCAACCTATGTACATGAAGCATCCATAATACTAATAAAAAAAGTTGTAGTATAAACTTTTTAGTTTGAATACCCATTGTGTCATAAACTTGAATTTTTGTTTCTTAGTAATTTTCGAGTAATTTTATATCTAGTTAGACACCATTCATAGTCACGTATTATTTAGGTTAATCGATAAATATAGCGAAGATTGAAAGCATAAAATCAATAATAAAGAATTATTGCATCTACTAAATTGGGTAACTCTCATCCAAATACTTAGCTCAACAATGGTCGAACACCAAAAAATTTGAAAAAAAAAAATCTAAATGAATAAAGCATTTGTAAAAATGTGAATGAAGACGCTAATCGGGCAATCTACCATGTGTGTGACAAATAAGGGGCCTTAATATGACTATATCAAATCAAAGAGGATGAAAATAAATAGGAGAGTTAGATCACAATGATATGATTTAAATTGATTTGTATAAGAGAGACTTTTAACCGTGAAATGCAACATTGTTTCTTCGCAATATCTTTAGTATGTTGTTAACACCTATTAAATTAACCATTAGCCTATCCAATTTTTGCGTGCCCCATATGACTAGCTGTAATGATATTTTTCTTAAGTCCTTTTTATATATTTTGCAACTTTTTCATGATAGCTAGCTTACTTGACTCAGAAACATAGTGTATTTTGACTTAATTTGTATGCGTTTTAGTATCGTTTTTATGTCTTTTTGAAGTATTATCTTAGTAGTAGGAGTGTTCATGAATGGTTAATGTCAATAACCAATCCATAACCATAAATAATTCATATGTTATAACCGGTTATTAAAATCAATTCTCATAACCGGTTTTTATCTTTTAAAATGATTATAAACCCGTTATTAACCGATTATATCCATAACTAATTTTATAATTAATTTTGAATTAATTTTATTTTAAAATTGATTTTTTCAAAATCATAATATTTTTTTAAAAAAATATTGATGTTAAAAAAACAATAGTTATTTTAAAATTTTAAAAATAAATTATTTTTTTAAAATTTTTTGAAAAAAAAATTTATTTACTGAAAAAAATTAAAACAATATCTTTTTTCAAAATAAAATATTTTTTTTTTTGAAAAAAGTTTTTAAAGTTTTTTTTAATTAAAAAAATTGACTTAATTTGATTTTTATTTTGGATATGGATGTCCAAATTATGGATTTGATTAAAATCATATTAAAAATATATCCAAAATATGGATTTGGGTTAAAACCATACTAATAATTAACAGATTTTTAATAATTGAATTTGGATATAGATATGGATTATTTAAATAACCGATTTATTTGAGCACCTCTAATTGGTAGTGTGTGTCTATTTTAGGTACTTTGTGGTTGGAAGCTTCCGTCTGATAAAACGGCAAAAAATGACAAAAACAAAGAGGAAAAGCAAGGTTTCTGCTATCATAACAGTTGCCCTGACTGTCATGACGGTCATCACCTATCTGATGGTTAATCCGTCACCAAAAAATTAATAAAATCGAGGAATTTTGTCTTAGTTAGATGGCAGACGGTCCGTCAAGAAGAAGACAACCGTCACAAGCCTGACGGCTGGCCCGTCACCGTCATGACCCCTCATTCTAGAAAATTTGTCCTCTTTTTGAAACAATTTCTCTACTTCTCAATTTTCTCTCCACGACTTTAGACATGTGTTAATAACTTCCAACAAGAATTCGCATCTATAAACAGGTCTTTTAGGACTCAAAAAATTATCCAAGGTTTGCAATAGTCAGAAATTTTATTGTGTAAAAGTATAATTTCTCACAATGAGTGATTATTGCAATTTTAGTTTTATGTTTGGAGCAATTTGTCTCTCATTATATATCTATTGTTTCAATCTTACCGACATAGCTTTTCTGCAATTTATTTCAAATATTTCTTTACCAAATTTAGATCTTCCTTCAGTATAATTTATTATTATATTCCAGATTATTTATCCAGATTTCTATTTCCTTCTTATTTACTTTATTGTACTGCTGTGCGCATGTTTACATTGATTATTATTATTTTAAATATGAACATTAATAAATCATGTATCTTTAGATATTTTACCATGCTAGCTTAAATTAATTGTATTCGAAATGTGAGGATTATCATATCGATGATAATCTAACTAGTTATAAAATAAATGTTTATAATATAAATGTTTATAATGAGAATTGTTTTTAGGTCGGAATAATTATATTTTTATAATTAAAATTTATTGCGAAAATAGAAACGTAGAGGTATTAGTTTCAACTCGAAAGAGTGAAACCTTTATATAATTGTAGAAAAATTGAGTAATTGACTCTGAACATAGCGATAACACATTTTTTATTAATTTGAAAAAATTCAGTTTTCAAAAAGGTGATTTTAAGAGTATGAATGGACAAACGTGTTTATATGTTTAAAATCGGATACCGATCACGCGAAAATAAACAATACATTTAAATTAATTTTTCCGCCAAAAGTAAATTAAAGTGATTATATTTCAATAGAGATTTTTGCCGTGTAACACGTTAGACACGCAAAAGCGGATAGTTAGAATGCATAGCTAAAATCTAATATCGGACACGCAAAAACGGACGGAATCTTTAAATTAATTATTTTTATACAAGAAAATATTGTCTTATTATAAATATAAGTAATGACTTTGTGAGAACCAACAATAACTACAATCTGATCACTTATTTTCATAATTACATTAAAACCAATTTAATCTCCGCTTTTGTCATTCAAAACTTTTCTCATCGACTTAGATAAACACAGTGATAGTTGAGAACGGTAGTTGTCAATTGATTTATGTGAAATTGATAATCTTTTATACTAATGCGATGACGCTGTACACTTGCGACTGCATCATATATCATTCATCAATGGGAGGGTGTTAATAGTTGCTTCATATGAAACTAACCATGGAGAGGTAGCTGGTGAACCAAGGAACAAAATTGGAGGCATAACTAATTAGTTCTAACTATGTAATTAACCGTTCTTTAGTTGTCCTCACTAACTTTTGCTATAAGTATTATTTTACTCTTTGATTGCAAGTTAATGAAGTTTCCATTTCCTAATAATAAAATGAAATCCATATTATTTCAAGGCTCAGATTTTACTTTTTCTGCTAGCTAAAGATACCTTTCTTAATTAATAACCATTCAAGTTTTATTCATTACTCTTTAACTGAACAAACACATCATATTCCAATATAGATTGACAGAAAAATATTCTCCTTTCATATACAATAAAAGGGCTGAGATAAGAATACAAAAACAAAATTATTTTCAATTTCAACCTATGTACATCAAGCATCCATAGTACTACTAATAAAAAAAGTTGCAGTACAGACTTTTCAAGTCTACAATCCACACAACAAAAAGAGTAAAACCTAATTCATCAAATTTCAAAGTTCCATAGTGATATCACATCATCTTGAAAGTTTATATCAAAATCTTCATACTCATGATATCCCAAGCTATGTGTAGGGGACATTAGTACCATATTCCTCCATAACTCTGGAATATTCAACGCTTCCTCCTCATCCTCTTCCACACAAAACATATTAATCAACTCCTCGTCGGCGACAATAGCTACAACTGTTTCAATCTCCTTAGTCTTTAAAATCTTGCCTGGCCTAAAAGCTTCGGCCGCTTCTGCAGCCGCCTTTTGTATATCCTTTGTATTAGAAGTTGCAGGAATAGGAAGCCTCCATGCCGAGTCTGCAAAGTTGAGACAAGCGTAGCGGCCCCTCAACGCCATTGCGGCAACATCATGTGCTCGGGCTGCCATCTCGGCGGTTGGAAAAGTCCCTAGCCAAATTTTAGTCTTTTTGTTAGGCTCCCTCATTTCACAGACCCATTTGTCTAAGTTTCTCTTCCTCACACCCCTATACACCGGGTGGCGAGTCTCCTTGAATATCTTCCTTCCTGCACGCTTCTTCGGAGTACTAGCAGCTAACCGCATCTCCTCTTGGAAACCTGACATCCCCCGAAAGACTTCTATATTTTGCAATGATGTGTTGGAGGAAATGGTAGGTTTTGAGGAAAGGGATTGTGAAGTGGAAGAGTTTTTAGTTGGAAACATATTTATGTGTTGGAGAGAGTAGATGGATTTGATGTTATATAGAGTGAAGAGTAAGGTGCTGCATATATAGCTAAAAGATGGTTGAAGGAAAGAGGTACTATAACAGTGTGAGCGAAGAAGTTGGATATTTTAGAAGTGTGAAGTGCAAGTTGGTTGGCTTGCTGCTGGAGGTAGAAATGTGCTTGGTTATGAATTATTTGGAAAGAGAAAGGTAAACCGATGAGAGTAATACAGAGAGTGTGTGTGACCCATGAAGAGAAACACTTGGCTCAAAATGAACAACGTGATCAAAATATCCCCTCTTTTTCTTTTATTGTAATTGTTGTTGAAAGGTATGCAAGGAAAATATCTATACTGACTCACTATAAATGGCTATTACAGAATTCATAGGAATTTACTACTTTTAGTAATTCAACATCCTTTTATAATTACAGCTTAATTGCAACTTTCGTCCTCCTATTTTATATATTTTTTTAGTTTTAATTCTCCAATTTTAAAAATTATGTTTTTTTTTTGTCCTTTTTTAAGTTTTGTTTTAAATTATAGTTCCCGGATTAATTTGTAAATATTTTTTGATGACGTCACGCTTGTTTTAATAATGTGTCAGTGTCGAATTATTATTAATTTTTCCACCTCATTATTTATTAAACTTTTATTTTCCACCTTATTATTTATTAAACTTTTAATGTTAATTCATTTAAAAGTATTTCATTGATATATAAAAATAATATATATTTATATTAATTTTCAAAAATATGTTTTGTTGTTCTCATCTTCTAGTCTTTTTTTTTCTTCTTCTTCTCATTTTGTTGCTCTATTTTCTTTCTCTTCTACTATTAACAACATCAGCAAAAACAAAATTATGTAGAAATACAATTAACTACATTTTCTGCAAATAAACCACATAAATCTCCATCATATTCAACACCACAATACAATATCACAACAACAAATCAACAAAAACAACTCATAAAAAATTTATAACCATAACAGATCTGAAATCAAAGAAATCAGGCGAACAAAAATAAGTAGAAACCATCACTGCAAAATCCACCAGAATCCCGTCGTTCACACATAGTCGCCAGAAATGCGCAGATCCGTCGACGACCTCACTTCCACTACACAGAACTAGTCGTTGCCGCTGCGAAAATGAACTTGCTGGAAAATGCAACATCTCCGGTCGCGGCCTCACTTCCACCTTCTTTTTGTTTCGATTTGTGTTTCAGTTTCGCTGAAAAATGTCATTGACATTGAAGAAGTTTCTTTTTTTTTCCCCTCCTTCTATTTCGATTTGTGACATTGCAGATTTTTAAGGGTAATGAATTAAAACAGATTAAAACATAAAAAAAATAATGACTTAAGTCTTATTGAGAAACACAATTTCTTCTGAATCTTTTCCATTTGCTTTGCAACCATTTTCTTATTTTCTCTTTCTCTTAAAACTCTTTGGATGTTGGTTATGTAACAATATAGAACCAAAAACTTGAGTGGATGATGAACCAAGAAGAGATTTTTCAAAATCTGAATTTTTAGGTTTTTTATAGATTTGGAAGGAAGATAATGAAAATGAAAAAATCTGGAAAAAAAAGAAGAAGAAGAAGAAGAATATCTACCATATAAATTATCTTAAATTTCTAAATCAACTTCAATTACATATAGAAACAAATTAAAATAATTTCTAAATCAACTTCAATTTAATTTAAAAAACAAATCAAACTAATTTCTAAATCAACTTCAATTTAATTTAGAAAATAAATTAAATTAATTTTAATATAATATGTTTGATAATTTAATTTAATTTATTTTAGTTTATTTTTATTTTTTAATTTAATCATATATATATATATATATATATATATATATATATATATATATATATATATATATATATATATATATATATATATATATATATATATATATATAATTTGAATTAAAAATAATTATAAATGATGTGAAAATTATTTTTGGCCAGTTAATCATGCAACATCATCAATTCAATTACCATGTCATGCAAAATGACACTTAAATGAAGTGGGGGACTAAAATCCAAAAGAAAATTAAAAAAAAAAATCAAAATTTTGGATTTTGAAATAGGGGGATCGAAACTCAAAAAAATAGAAAATAGAGGGATCAAAGTTGCAATTAAGCCTATAATTACTATATACAAAATAATTAATTAAGTTAATAATGATTATTTTTTTTTATCATTTCATAAAAAAATTGAATTTTGTTTTCTGAAAATCAAAAATCAAACTCTTATTATTAAATTAATAGTTTATAGACAAAAATATAAAATAAAAGATTATAATTAATTAAAGTGGTGTTAATAGTTGTTTTGGGTTGGTCTCACCCCTAATATAAGGAAGATTCAATTTCGTCCAATACATAAATATTATTAGTTGAGTAAAAAAATGTATGATTCTCTTTATTTATATCTGACTTGGACGTTGGAGTTATAATCTTGCAGGTATATTTTGTGCCCGCATCAGAGAAGCTTGCACTACTACGTCTAGAATGTGCATCAACATTTTTGGTTCTGGAACAAAACAATGACCTTATCTAAGAAAATCGAATTTTGATTCCTATGAATTTCCAAAATCAGATCTCCAAATCGGTGAGATACCTCTTATATCAGTCAGATCTTCTACAAATCAAACACCAATCGCTATGATCAATACACTAAGATGGAAGCACTTTGAAATAATATCTCTCAAAATTCTCCAAATCAATTTCTTCCTCAACGTTTACCATAGACACGATCGATGTAGATTCGTTCAGACAAATATAGTCTCCACCAACAGGATCTATTAAATCATCCTCCTTAGGAAGGAAGTAGAAAAATGATAGACCAATCTTAAAGTTTTAAGATCATGAAAAGGTAAACAGGATTCCAAACCAGCAAATCAAAAAAAAAAAATCACTAGGACGTAGTAGAAATATCATCATCCAAAGAAGTTTAGTAGATATCCTTAGGATAATTTTCCTCTTTAGTACTTGAAATATCTTCATCTATACCCATTGTTATAACATATTTCTTAACATCAGGAATAAGAACACGAGAAAAGGAAGTACCAACAACTTGTGGACTTAACATTTTAATAAGACCTTTAAAAACACCTTTTCTAGCAATGGATGTGACAGTTATTTCTTGCCAAGTCTTAGCTTCCTGGTTAAGTTCCTTGGAGAATGTGGCTTCACGCAGGCTCATACATAAGTGCCACATCAAGCATATTTTCAATAGTAGTTAAATCAGATCCATCAATACTACGAATATTGGTAAATGTAATTTCAGGGATATGTTTTCTATCAAATAACTTGTAATTGAAATTCAGCAAGCTAGGAGCAACACCAACTTCATCCTCCCTTGTAGTAATATCACTCTTTTGGCTAATTAATATACCAGAAATTAAAGAAAGGGGCCCAATTAGAAGTTTAAGCACATAAGAATCAACATGTTTAACCACTTTCTCAAAGACATAATCACCAATCTTGTAAAGAATTTCATATTTCACGCTAAGGTTTGAAGCAACCAACGTGCCTTTAGATGGCCAATTATCACATACATTCCCTCGTGATCTCTTTGGCAATGGTCTTCAAATATAGAACATAGTCAGTTGTAATCAATCTTCATCTACCAATGTAATCATTTATAATTGCAGAAGAAAAGGAAAAATACTAACCCTTTACATATACCTTCATGTACTCATCACTCCAAGCATCATTAAACTATGTAAGAATGTTAACATGAACTTTCTCACTAGGTTCGGATAAAAAAAATAATATTCGTCATAATTATTAAGAACAGAGCATCGCTAAGAAACTTCATGATCTCATTGCATTTCTTATCATCATCATAAATTCAATATTCTTCGAAAGAAGATGATGATGAATCACACAGAGAGAAAATCGAGATCGAGGGACATTCAGGAACCACCGTGACGCAATCAATTGAGAAAAAAGAACAGGGAAGTCGCGGCTCAGAAAGAGAAAAGAGAGTGAAAAGAAGCCACCGCAAACGAAAACAGAGCATACACGGGGAGAAAACGTGGGCGAAGAAGAAAGAGCAAGCCGAGAGAGAGAGAGAGAGATGTGAAATTGGAAGGAGAAACAGGGGGTCTATTCAGAAAGATCGTGATTTTGGCTTTGTACGTACGTGAGGGGAAACTTTTTTTCTCTCTTGCTGTTATTATTAATTTTTACTTTTTCTTTTTTTCTTTTACAATGATTTTGGATTTAGCCTTTTTTTTTCCTTCTTTAAGCTCATCATCTTCTAGGCCCATTTCACCACCCCCTAAATCTCTTTTGGACCTCTCCTTTTTGTGTTAGATATTTTTTATTTTTAATTTTCAATTCACTTTTATTTTGGTTTTTAATTATTATTTAAATTAATTATTATTTTCAATTTTGATTATTATCTAAGACCTTTAGTTAGTTATTATTTCAATATTAATAGTAACTAGATTATTAATTTAGTTATTAAATATAAAAACTCCAAAATATTTTATTTTTTAATTAATTTGTGAGTTAATCCTTTAGATTTTTTAGTTAATTTGTGAGTTAATCCTTTAGATTTTTTATTTATGTCTAGAATTTAATTGTTTAGAGTTTAATATTTGATCACTTAGTTTTCGATTTCGGCTAATTAATTCCTTCAATAAATTTGAATTTTAACTTGGTGCCTTGTGACTTAATTTCCTTAGCATGTAATTTTGGCTCTTTTTGTTTGAATCTCATAATCTCAATTCTTATCTTGTTTGTGCCATTATCCATTATCTTGTGATTATCATTATCCATCTAACTCATGCATCTTTTCATTTGATTCTATCATGTGATTGTTTGCTTGTTTTCTCTTGTTGGTTCATCCCGACACTTGAGTTGCATCTTGTCCGATTGCTTGCTTGTGTGTTCATATGTTCCCTTAGAATCTCCTAGTTCAACTTAATTTTTGGTTAAGATTGACGTAGGATAAATTTTAGGTTTTTAATCCAAGCATGACA